ACTATAATATGGCAAATCGTCACGTTCAATAACCTTTACTACTTTTATTTTGTTTTTGGTTTTCAAAATCTATTCTTACTTTATGATTATTACGACTTACGTTTGGTATCTTTATCTATAAAAACATTTTCTATATTATTCCTTGGTTTTTTTTTTTTTTTTGATTTTCTAATTTTATAGTGTGTTCTTTATATTATTATTTTTATTAACAAAAAGATCTAGATGAAACAAGATAAATATTTTCTTTAGTAGATTTTTAAATATTTTTCATTTTTTTTGCTTTTGTAACTTTTTCTATGTTATTTAGTTCATTGGTTGGTTTGTTGGTTGACTTGGATGTTCTTCTCATCTAACTTTTCTCTATACACTCACCATTCACGGTATACAATAATATTAATATGGTATCAAATTGGTACCAATTCTGGGGAAGTTCTCTTTCCATATTTTTTATGAAATCGATCTATCTAATAGAGTTTTCGTTGTTTTTTTATATCAAACTTTACAATGTCTTTGCTTTTTCTTTGATTTTATTGAATATCGCACACACAAAACTCTTATTCTTTCTCTATTTTTTTTCTCAGTTTTTTTTTAATAATCATAATATAGTCTTTGTCTTTTTGAAATTTGATATACAATCGTGTTATACATCTGTATTACACAGAATATCACTTAAGAGAATTCATCAAAATCTATATAGAAATATAACAAAAAAAAAAAAATTAGGTTACAAACATGAAAGAAAAAAAACTGAATGTATAAAAAGAATAGTTAAAAACGAATAATAGAACATTGTTATTAAACAAGTTATTATTATAACTATTATTTTTACTATTATTCAATTCTATACTCTTTTTATGTTTAAATAATCAAAATATTTGGATTATATCTAGTTAATGAAAAGAGAATGGATAAGATAAAAGGTGTTATAATATAGGAAATAGAAAACGAAAAAATACCAATAGGTAGATAAAAAAAATAATAAAATAGTTAAAATGAAAATATCTAATATGATAATTAGAAAGATTTAGAGAAACTATCAAACGTGATAGCTAGTAGCTTAATGAATTTAAAATTATTATATTCGTATAATGGTTTTAATATTTTTAAACATAAATTTCAGACATGTCGCATATACAGGGTGAACTAGTACCATAAGGTAATTTGGACCATAGCACTCATTTACACCTTATACACATTAAATACTTATGCATATTTTATTACTTTTTAATTTTTATTAAATAAACTTAGGAATTTAAATGAAAATTCAATTCATATTGGTGAAATGTTACTAAAACTGACTGAAATAAAGATATTCCAATTGAAAACTTTTAAAAAATTATTAAAATTCTCAATCTGTTCGATTTAACCTTTTAATAATAATCTAAATAATTTAAAATCTACTATATTTCTCATGAGATGTCGTGTAATTTTCTAAATTTTCTGGTTTTCATAAAAAATTGCTTCTCCTTTACCTCTGTTGACCCTAATGTTTTTGAGTACAATAATGTAAGATAGCTAAAAACAGTATTGGAAGAGATTTTACTTAAACTGAAAACAATAGGATAATAATTAAGAATTTTGTTATAAAGGAGAAAAAACTGAACTATAAGAGCATAAATTATGAATGTCGACGATTTGACATTCATTTTCATTATAAGAATATTAAAGCAATTATTTAGATATTAAGACTCTCTCTCAAGTAAAGGAAAGTATCGCTTTCCTTTACTTGAAAACCTGATCTTTATTCAAAATACACCGTCGCAACCTTGCAAATCTATATATGAATTTTCATTTTTGTTCTATATTTCTCCGATGAGGTTTTCAATAACAGCAATTTTAATTGAACCCCATAATTAACTATAATTTATATTTTTAATTGTGTTTGAGAAAAATTCTACCAAGAAAATTTTTGCTTTTTAAAATTATATTGTTCAATAAACGGACAAACATAAATAATTTTAAATTATTTGTTTTGTTCAACAAACAAACAAAATTAGTGGACTGCCAAGACAAAAGAAAACGAAACTATCAAACGCGTTTTTAATGAAAACACAAATTTTAATTAGTTTCAGATTATCAACGGTATCCAAAAATATGTTCAATTTCTAATTTTTCTCTATACACACACACACCACTATGAAATTAATTTCTATTTGAAAAAAAAACGTGTAGACGCTTTGGAAACTTTTTCATCATTTTTTTTTTAATTTCACACCTTTTTTTTTGTACAAATTTAGAATTAAACTTTTTTTTATTAGTTTTTTATGAGTTTAAAATAATTTTTTTTTGTTCTATTTGATTTCCTCTTTAATAGTTTTCGATACAGTTTAATTTAAAAATTAACTGCGAATTTAATCAAAAGATTAGTGGAACGTTCAACAAGAGAGGGCAAAAAAAAACCAACAAAATTGAATTAAATTATTGAATATCGATTTTAATTTGTTTTTGATTATTAAACTATAGAATGATAGATGAGTTTTTAATTTTAGAAGAATTGAAAATTTCATTCTGATATTAAATTTTCTATATATATTAGTATATATAGAATCTATATATATAGTATATATACTACTTATTTAGATTCGGATAGTATAAGAATAGGGATAAAATTTCAATCAAAATTTTTGTTATTATAGCGCGATCTATAATATAAAAGTAAAAAAAAAGTATCTACTGTAAAAATTTAATTAATAAAAGTCAACAATTTGTTGTTTTTTCCCTACAATAAAGAAAATGAGAATTTGCTATTGGGTAAAATAAATAGTAATTAAAAATGTTCTACTTTCTAAAAACTTTTAATACTAGTATTGTATACTTACTAGGCTCATATCTATAAAATCAGTCAGGTTAATAATGATTTGTTAACTACTTCTATATTTTGTTGAAAATTAATTTTAAATTAACCTAAATTTAATAAAAGTTTTAAATTATTTTGTAATTGGTGCAAATATAAAATTGAAAATTGGAAAGTAGCAATATTATAAAAATATGTGCAAAAAGGAAAAGGGTTAATTTTGTTTAAAAATTTGTGTATATCGAAAATTTTATAAAAATCAGAATATTATACGTCGAATTTGAATATGTATAACAGATTAACAAATAAGCGTGGTTGAATTATGTATTGTAGCACTAAAAATCGATTGCTTAATTACATAAAAATCACCTCTCCAAATTCAGGAAAATTTTCTTTATACATAATTATTTTATTATAAAATACGAAAAAAAAATTAATTAATCTGTATACGTATGGTTAAAATTTTAAATTCAATTTTGAATTTCAAACCAATTTATTATATACAATAAATTTAGAAAAAAGAAGGAAGATTACATAATATTTTGAAAAGGATGTTACTCAAGTAATCTTGTGTTAAACACTTTGATTGTCTAATTAAATAATATACCGTTATGACTAAACATTACACATATTATTTAGAACTATCATAATGTAAGTACGAGTATATTAAAACTATATCACAAACATTTTTCATAAGAACTGTTAATTAAATATTGTTATACTTTATATTGTTATAATTTATGATTGATTGACTATTCAATTTAGCTAAAAACATTAAAATTACTCTTAAAATGACTGAAAATATTTGTATAATATTGAAAATATTAATTAATATCTCTGGTATAAGTACTATAATTTAACTTTATATTTATAACAGTTCATTACTACATAATTTAATTGTTTATCAATTATACAGTATATTTAAACAAAAGCATACAGTGGTATTAATTAATTCAAATCATTAATTAATTTATACATGAGCTGTTCATCTTGATCGAAGATAATTTACTATTTTAACATCAAAGAATAAAAAAGAATGAAATATTCTAGTAAGATAATTATTATGACTGTTATAACTAAGCGTAATTTCAAAATCTATTTATTTTTAGGGGAGATATTATTATATTATAATTGTGTATAATTATCATAAATGAATAAAATATAATAACAAATTAATTTTATAACAGATAAGTATAAAAATCTGCTTGTTTTTATAGAATTTTTAAAAATTCAGAAAAATTTGCATAAGCTTTCTCATTTTGCTCTAATAAGTCTAGTCTTTCCTAAATTTAAATTAAATATACTTCAGCATAAATTATTTAATTAATAAATTAAGGGTAAAAATCAACATTTTTCGAGGAAAATTTAATAAAATATTTTTTACAAGGTACACCTTCAAATATATCAAATGCAATTGAAAACTGAAAGATATCGATAAATAGTTGATGTTTGATGCAGGCCTATAGTTGGCCTATGTGTGCCATTCAGGGGATCGCGACAACGTAACAATTGCAAATTTAAGCGAGCTCAAAACTCTTTTTTTTTTTTTTTCATCCCACTTCGCCCTGGGAGAAGTAAAGGACTAGTGAATGATATCGTGGATAATTCTGAACCAGTACTATGTACTATGTAAATAACAAGCCTGACTTAAAACTTTAGACTTAATTTTTACATAAATTTTTAAATGCTGTGTTTTTTGCAATTGCGTTTGACATTATTGACAGAAAAAAAAATTATTCAATTTGAAATGTTTGAATTACTTTCAAGAATAGCATTATAGGAAGTATTTGTTATCAAACAATAATCACTATCTAAACTCATAGGTAAGACAATATTTATAATTTCTATTCAATTCCAAAAAAAAAAATCAAATGTTTTATAATATTATTCGTTCAACCTAATTCATAAGGCATAATTATACGAGTAAACTAATTAATTAAAAATTAACATTAAAATAATATTTGTGCATACGATCAATATTAAATAAAAAAAAAAAATAAAAAAGAAATCCGAGATTCTATAGTTAAAATATTGAAGTATTTAACATTTTTTTTTCCTGGTGACACAAACAATAATTTTTGATTACAGAGTGGAAAAAAATTGCATAAAATTCAATTTTTTTTTTTTTGTTATGTAAAAGTAAATAACGAAGAATTTTAATTATTAAACCAATAATTTTATTTTATATTTTTTCTTTTTTTTTTAGCAAATAATATCAACGGAATTGAAACAGCACACATTTACATTATATATAATATTTACATAAAATTTAATCAAACGTTCGCATATATTATATTGGGCCAGAAAATCACCACTTTCTCATTATTATCATAAGAATAATAATAATAATAATAAGAATAATAAGAATAACAGTAATTTTTAACAGTATACCAATAATTTTTATCAATTGACTTTATTTTCTTTTTGAATAAATTTCTGGCCAAATATGTAAATATGTTCTGTCACCATCAGAACATACAAGTGTTTCACATTGGGTAAATTATTATTATAAAAATTTATAATATAAAAATATGTAAAATTATATAATAATCATTATAAAGTAAGGATATTCACAATAACAGTAAAAAAATAACAAAATTATAACAAAAAAATCAAAATTTAAATAAAAATTTTCGCTATAACACTGAGAAAAAAAAATTCATTTTTCTCTTTGTTTTTTTTTTAGTAAATAATCGATTTTTTTTTTTTTGCATTTGATAATTTTATTTTGTGATTTTTATTAAAATAAAAATTATTGTATTATTTTCTTTTTCGTTTTTATGCAAAATAAACGTTCATCATAATTTTGTTTTTCTGAATAATGACAACAATAGCACAGAAGAGTCATCGATAACGGTAATAATGCAACAGAAATTTTTTTTTTTTGACAAAATAAAAATATAAAACGGAATTATTATTTGTTTCGATTGAAAATTACAAAAAGAAAATAATTATTAAAAACAAGGATAAAATTCGGAAAATATATAGGGAAATTTTATATGCATATACCGAAAATATTATTGAATCATTATAACAATAAAAACAAGAATAAAAAGCAAAAAGAAAAACAAACGGAATAATGGAAACTTCATATGCATGTAACGGGATTATTAAAAGGAATTCCTTAGCATTGAGTTTACAGGAATCTCATATATTTTGTGATTATTTTTGTTTTTATGTTTTTATACTAAAATATACAAAAGAAAAATTGCAATCGAACTATCAGAGTTACAGTTTTTTTTTTCTCTTTCCCTCCATTTTGATATTTTTTCATTATTTTTATTGTTATTATTGTTATGTTTGAATTAATATAATATGAAATTTGGCTAAAACAAATACGACATAAATACCACATAAAGAGTATATAAAAAATATAGATGAATTGAAATTTTTCGAAAAATAAATAATGTGAGCAACGTACTTACATATTATATAAGAAGAACGAAATGGTAAAGAAAAGAGTAAGAAATAGTTATTTTGCAAAAATTAAATATTTGTTATTGCCACATTGTACACAGGTTCAGTGGTCCTTAATCTCTTAATAATCAGATAAATTTCAGATTAAGGATTTTTTGACGCTTCAGTTTTCCTATTTGCTGAGTTTTTGTATTTCATTTGGCAGAAAATGTTACATAACTAAAGATAATATCAAAGTCAGAGAAATATGCGTTGTTTTCATGACAAACGGAAACCCTTAAAACTCTTCATTTACTTTACAAATGATGACATTTTATTCAGTTCAATGCTTTTTGTTGTACGTGTCGCTTATATACATAGGCAAAAAAATGTATTTGCTCGAAATTAGAATTATTTTAAAAAACAAAATATTTTTCGGAATATGAAAATTCTGTATTAAAAAACTATTCATACATTCAGACGACAATTTCTTAGTAATTCTAGTTCACTTTGTTACTAGAAAATTTTTTAGGTTTTCTTACAATATTCAATCAATTAGTGCCTAATTTCACAACCATTCTTGTTTTTCGAATATACGGGACTGTTTTAATATTTTAAATAAATTTGACATTGGATTTTAAAGTTTCCATTCAATTGTTTAAAAGAGCTTTTAATTAATTTTTATTCAACTCTTCACTCTTAGTTGCACTTTTGTGAAACCACTGATATAATATCAAATGTGGATAATATTACAGAAGATCACGTTAAACTTAAACAAAAATAAAAATCAAATTTTATTTTTTTTTTGACAAATATGAGAAAATATGGTCGATATTTTATTTTATTTTCATTTTCAATTATTTGTTTTATTTTATTTTTAATTAATTATTAAAATGTCACATATTTTTTTATTGACATTTCACGTATCGAATGTCACCATAAATGTAATAAAAGAAAACACGTTGGAAAACAAAACAGAAAAAAGAAATAATTGAATAACTATCGGAGATGAAAAAAAAAAAATTTAATAAGAGAGTAACGTTAACAACTGTGAATATTGAGAGAGAAACACCAAAAAAAAAAATATATTATAAGAGAAACGAAGCAAATACGAATTTTACGGAAATTTAATAAAAAAAGGAAAACGTCAATGTCATTTTTATTTTGTTGCCGCCATTTTTATTTTCGTTTTGTTTTTTTGTTTTTCTTCGTATATAATATTGTGTTTTTGAGTTTATAACCAAAAAATTTATTTCACAAGGGATGATAAAAATTGTTTTTTTTTTTTTATTTTATATTTTTGTTGTTATTTACAGTTTCATATTTAATTTAATGTATATAGTTTTCTCTCTTTTCCATATAATTTTTTTTTTGTTTTTTGATTTTTTAACAGAATATAAATAAAAATTGCATAGTAATAATATTACGCCATTTTGATTTTTATATTTTGCGAAAAATAAGAATAATATAAATGTAAATAAATGTACTGTTATTGTGAAAACGATATTTGTTTTAAATATTTTTTTTATATTTTTACTCTTTGAATTATAAATAATTTTTTTAGGGTAGATAATAAAAAATTTAACAGAAAAAAAAAATTCTTAAAAATTTCAAAAAATTAAAATAAAATATTGTAATTTTAATATTTTGATTTTTAATTCTTTTTTTTTTTTTTTGAAAATAGGGTTGATACCGTGTAATTTATGCAATATTTATTACAATATTTACAAATAATCAATATGAATATCACATGAAAATAATAATCCAGTAAATAAAGAAAAATAATAAAAAAAAAATAAAATATGTATATAAAGAGAAATATGAAAATTAAATGAAATATTTAATGACATTCACATACATACATCTATATACATATACAATTTATAAAATATTTTGATGTCAATAAATCGTAACGATAAAATATATATTATAAGGAAACAAAAAAAAACAAAAAAAATAATGGCAAAATGAAAAAATTACAATTGAATTCTCGATTTAAAAATAATTGGGAAAAAATTATACATTTATAAAAATTTTAAATCCCAAAAAAAAAAAAATAATAATTTTAAATTTAAATAAATAAATAAAAAACGAGAAGGAATAAATAAATAAATTATAAAATATAAAAATTAAAATAATATATATATATATGTACATGCATACTAATGACTAATATTGAGTGCAACAATTATAAAAAATAAATAAAATCATTATTATTTATTATTATAAATTAAATAAATAATTTAATATTTTATTTATTAATAAAAAATAAAATAATAAATTAAAAGCAAAAAAAAATATTAAAACAATTATATACCATTTTTATATATATATATATATATGTACATAATTGAAAAATTATTATCAAATCAAAGTTAAATAATAAACAGAAATGACTATGAAATCAATGAAATATTCAGATTGTGATACTATCATGGATAATTATAATCCAGTGCCTCCACCTTTACCAAGGCGGGTACCACCAGTTAGGAATATATATGCTGAACCATTTGCACATGAACCAAGTCATCAAAGCAGGTAGGTGTTGATTTTTTTTTTTATTTTATTTTAACATTAAATCATATTTTGGTAATGTATGATCTATGCATTTTTCATATGTTTCTTAAAACACATTTAACACATTTTATTGGCAAAACTATAAGAGATAGAGAAAATAAATATATGGACAAATGTTCGAGAAATTTCGAGTTTTTTTAAAGAAAATTTCAAAAAAAAAAAAAAAATTCTGTTTTTGGCATCTCGAAAAGTATGGCTCAAATCAAATCGATTGCAAGACTACAAATAAGCAAGAATCAATCGCATGTAAAACAAGCCGCAGATAATTATTTTATATCGCATGGTTCTAAAGTTATAAGTATTTATTTATATATGTATCAGAAAAATCTGATTCCATTTTGTTTCAACAATCTATAGACTCAAACGAGTATATCTGCCCCCGCTCTCATATGAAAATTGATTGAAGAATCATCCTGAAATTAAGTATTTGCCACGTTATGTAAAACACAGTGTATAAATTGCATTATTGCAAAATTTTTGTGAAAAAATTCAAATTTTGTGAAAAACAAGGAAATTTTAATTGGTTTTGAAAAAAAAAAAACAGTTCTAGATATTGATATTTTATTGCGATTACAATGCCTTTCCGTTATAATTAAATTTTGTTGTGCAAACATGAAATTCTTAGCTAAGTAAATAAAATTTTTGAATTTTTGGCTTTAAGAAAATAAAAACATAATCTCAGACATATATTCCAATAATAGCAGTTAATAACACTAGTTTATGGCCGCACTGATCTTTTTTCACTATTTATATACGAAAGCGTAATTACATTAAAAGTGAATATTATTTCTGTGTGTCATTCTGTGTTTAATCGATTAAAATTCATGCATGCATGTATGAAGATCTCAGTAGCATTATCCAGCGTGATGGTTTCAAAGTACGAATCAAAGTTTGGTTTCATATTAAAGTTCGAAATTTGAAATCTGCAAATTCAAAAATAAAACCACAAAAATTAAAAAATATATTTTGCTATTTTTGTAGTTTAAAATTAATTTAACAAATTCAAATTTACTAAAACGCAAATTTTTTTATCTGAAATGCTATATGTAATTTCGTGCTCAGAATGCCAAATTATAGAATGTTTTAACTTAATCTACCTTTTTTTCTAAAAACAAAAAATAATTTTGTACGTGAATATTTTTTCTTTCTATAATTCCATATAAAATTAAAATATTAGTTCAATTTACTAATGAATTTTTGGAAAATATAGTGTACAAAAACCAAAACAAAAATAAAGAACGAAACAAAAAATATTAAAACGTATTACAAAAAATTAATTAAATTTTTTAATTAATTTGATTCGTTGGGTTCAAATATTGTACAGGAGCATTTGCAAAACAAAAAAAAAACGTTCAGAAGAAAAGCACAAAAAGAAAAACGGAATCATTCAAGCCAATTCAATTAATTTTTTCCATTTCTTGCAATTACCATTATATCTGCAAAAGCTGCCTTTCTTCCACCTCCTCTTCTTCCATCTATTCCTACTTCCATATCTTTTTTTATCCCAAAATCTGAAACTATAATTTTTATACACGATAAATTGCTGAACCAAAAACAGAAAAACTTGGAAAAAGCACAAAAAGAAAGAAAAACAAGGGAAAAAAAATCCTTTCGCTTTTACTTATCCTTTCATTTTTTTCCCCATTTTCTCTCATTAAATTATTCAAGTCAAATCAAGGGTCATTGCAAGAAATCAAGAGAGAAAAAGAAAAAGCGAAAGAGCCGACGGTAATTATGTAATTACTTCAGAATATTAATTTTTTAACATCTTCAAAATTCCACTTCTATACCACTACCATTTACATACAATATATTTTAATAGTACAGCAAGGAATTTAAAGTGGGGCATCAGAAAAAAAAAACGAAAATAGAACGCAATGAAATAAATGAAAAATTTATGGTGAAATTAAATTTTTTTTTTGGACAACTTTAGGGTATCAATCTGAGAAATATATAGTGTAATTTTAAAAATTAAGTTGGCAAATTCGGCAAACAATAATGAAGTCATTTTAGTCCAATTTAGTTATTTTTAATATTTAGAACTCACATGACATTGAGATCGTATTTCATAAAGTAGAACTCATTTCTCAAAGTTCTGTTATACTTAATGTAAAGCACTTCTGTGAAACTTCTTTGAATCTTTACACAGAAGTAAAGAAACAGAACCTTGACAAATGAGTTATGGTTAATTTAAAACTTTTTTTAAAATTTTAATTAAGTTTTTGGGATTTGTTGATTATTTGTTGCAATAGTAGTTCAAGGTTTTTAAAATGTAATTCAAAGCCTTACAAGGCATGTGTCCTTCTTAAACAGAAAGATACATTTCATTCGAAATGATCCGGCTAACTTTGTAGTTCTAGTTTAAAATAACAAACACAATAGTCAAATTTTTACAAATTTCCGGAATATAAGCAAGGATTTAACAATATTAATTCAGATATTATTATCCTCTAAGTATGTACATATGCAAAATAGAATTATTTATGAATTTTATGATAAAAATATGCAAAAACAATACAAAAGAAATTTGAGCAATACAATGGGCAAATATAATGGAGAAGAGAAAATTGAACAAAGAAAAAGAGCAAAAGAAAATTGTACAAAATACAAAGAGTAAAAACAAATTTCCTTTTGTTTTTTTTTTTTGCCAGTTGCCTCTTTTACTTTTCATTTCAATTGAAAGAATGATCAGAATTTTAAAGAATATTTTCTTTCTTGATAATTTTTAAAAATTGAAATGAGAAAAAGAAAAAGCGAAAAAATCATAATTTCATTTCTTGTTTTGTTTTACTTCTTCATTTCATTTTCAAAATGAATTTCGGCACGTTTGAAAAGCAACGAACGATTTTAGCGAATATTTTTTTGGTTTATGTTTTAGACACAAGTAATATTGCAAAAAAAAAAGAAGAAAAAAGAGAAAAATAAGTGAGATAAGGCAGACAATTACAGTTGTTGTACTTGTAGGAGAAAGAGGTTGTAGAACGGAAATCAGGGATAAAAAGAGAAAATACAAAAGAAAATTGCTATAATAACAGTTTTACTCTAAAAAGGCACAGAGAAACGAAATATTAAAATATTATTATGGAATTGAGTAAAGAAGACACCAACAAACAGGCAAACAAGGTAGAATTATAATTTTTATATTCTCTTATTTTTCTTGGTATTTTTTTTTCTGTTTTATCATGATTTCCTGAATCGTAAGGATAATAACCCTTTGGGAAATTATTTTGTTATTAATTATGTTCAGTTTTTTTGACCGCTTTTCACATTTGTCATTTTTTTTTTTTTACTTTGTTCATTTCTTTTTCTTTACCTTTGTTCTCCCTTTCGCATTTTTTTTTTGTTTTTTTCGGAAAAAAAAAATTGGAACAGAGAAACAAGTGGAACGTTTGCGTATGCTTTTCATTTTTTTACGTTTTTGTGTCGTACTTTTCGACACAAATTTCAAACAAATTTTTTTTTCTTTGAAATGAATGGTTTGAGGGTAGAAAATTTTATAAAAACGCAAAAAAAAACAGAAATGTCATGACAGAGACGAAAGAAAAGTAAATCTAAAAACGAGAGAAAAAAAAAATATTAAAGTTAAAAAAAAAAAATTTTTTTTCACAAATAAAAAATTAAAAATTAAATTTTTTTTTTTCGTATTTGAATTCAAGTTTTTTTTTTTCCAAAAAATAAAAAGGAAAATGTCAAAAACAGAAGCGGCAATATAAAAAAATACTTACATTTCATAGAACTTCAATTGCGATGCGATGTAAAGATAAGTGGTAGTGGGAATGATGAAGGGAGGAGTTGAATAAAGGGGTACCTACAGGTAATAAAACTTTCATGAGTGTCTTCAATTTTTGAGTTGAAAAAAATTATTTTCCTCTCCTTTTTGTTTTTTTTTTCTTCTGTATAAATAAATCCCGTTATTTTGTTAACTATATGAAAAGGATTTTTCTTTTTAATCTAGAAATTATTTATTTTTTTTTTCTTTTTCTGTTATAACAATTTTCAACGATTGTGAATTTTTTTGAAGTCTCTGTGGGAAAACGCTTATTGAGAAAACTTTATTATAAATTTAGATTTAAAAAATTCTTTTTTTATTTTTTTTTTTTGAATACTTACTTTTTGATACTTAAATTACACTGCTACCTTCTATATTATATGTGTATAATATCCTAAGAGAATATAATGAATTCAATTTGGGCAAAAAAATAAAATGAAAAAATAAAATGAAAACTAAAAAAAAAATACAGAAATTCTCTTTTCGCTATATTATGTAAGCCAAATAAATAAAAAGGATATTTGCGAATATTTATATAAGTTTCCCTTTGATTTATTAAAATAAATTAAAACAAAAAAAAAAAAGGAAGTTTACATAACTTACATAAAGTAACTATATGCAAACATATTCTATAATTAAATATGTAACTGTTATAATATAGAGAAAATTAATGTTATATTGAGTTTATTTTAATAATAAATACACAAACACACAATTTTAATGAATAATAATTAAAAATGTTATTGCAATTCTTTAAATATTATAAAAATGTTATTTTATATAACTCGAAAACAAACTAGCTTGCGGCACTTTGAATGCATGCATCTCATGCATATCGTATACAAAGAATAAATATACACAATAAATACATATATTTTCCGAATTATTTCGGGAATAAGCTCAACTGTTATATGAAATTTGTATGGACAATTAAAATTAATAATATTATTTTTTATATAAAAGCAAAATACATTGTGCGTATATGCGATTGTATTTTTTTATTTAATATTTAATTGAATTAATTATTATTGCACAAATTATATTTT